ATAAAGGATTATACTTGATGGTGCTCACCATTTCTTTGCAGAGTAAAGTGAGGATCTGGACCAGCAGCACTCCAGCTTTTCTTAGAGGAATTAAAGGCTTTGAAATCTCCCTGGAGGCAGAAAAGGTCGACACAGGTTACACATCAAACTAACTTAATTAAAAACAGCCCAAAAAGTGGTCTTCATTTTCCCTTCCTAACATGCTGAGGGGCAGAGTGAGGCCTCGCACTAACCTGAAAAGTTCTCCCATAGGGATGCCTCCCTCATGGAGCATGGGAGTGATCAGCTCTGCCAGGTACAGCCAGATGTGGGGGATGTCTATCGCCATGTCTTCAGCCACCTCCAGGATTTCCTGAAGCCTGAGGAAACGCACACATACAGCACACATTTTTAAGTTTATTCAAGGTTTAAAGGAGGAGGAACAAGTTTATAATTATTCAACAGATGGGGAAATATGGCACCACACGAACACAAACATACGGAAACTGTCTTTTTTGGTTAAGCATAGTGGTTTTAAGATTCCTTCATTTCAGCAACTGCTTAAAAAATTTGACTTTTCAGAGATTAATTCACGAGCTAAAGCCAGAATCTCCCCCACGGGCTTCAGTTTATTCTAAATCCTGCTGTTACAAACTTTTTTCAGTCAGCACTTGAAGCGCTGCTGTAACATATGTCAGACAGCTTTGGTCCAACGACACTGGTTCTTGGATTTATATATTTACATGTATTAATTTATGGTGATTCATACGTTGTTTTTTCACACAACATTACATCTCCTACTGAACCGCCTCTCTGGGGCTCAATACTGACCCATTAAAGTACTGCTGTGTGGGGAGGATGTTGTTCTTAATGAGCTGCTGCAGAAGCAGGCCCATGTGCTCCCTGGCGATGGTGCTGCGCTCCAGCGTCGACTCCAGTCCGTTTCGTACTAACACGTACAGTAGCTGAGTGCTGCTCAACTCCTGCACACACTGGAGAGCCTCCTGTTGGGACAGAGAAGGACACACAGAAGGTGGTGAGCACTATGTGACTCTGGTGGCTGGTAATGGGTGCTGGATCTAAGGTGTGCCAAAACAAGACTCATTTTTAGGGGATCAGCGGATCATTTTTAAATTTTACATAGGGGAACAAGAACAAACAGATTTTTACTCCTGTATAAGGTAAGTATGGGGTCCTTTTCATTTCCATATGCGTATCAGTGCTTTACCTTCATGTCATTTATATGGAGGTACTCCTCGATAATGGCTGTGGACTTCTTGTTCAGCTCTTCCTCGGTCAAGGCAGGCTTGGTGGGGGTCTGAGGAGGTGGAGGGGTGGCAGCTGTCTCCCGTTTCACTGTTAACACACAAAACCAAAATCTTAAATTATATTTAATTCCTCTAACTTTTGCCAAAAAAAAAAGTGGTAGTACACAGCTTTCCTGTTGTAGAACTTCTCTTCACAGATGGCTCGTAAAATGGGCGAGAGAATTTAATTCTTAGCAGAGTGGAAAACAACAAACTCTCGGATTTAAACACACAGTTTAAATCTACACCACCACTATGTCAAGCCGCCTACCATTCTCTTTGCTCCTGGCTCTCTCTCTGCTGCCTCTGTCGTCCGTCATGCTCGCTACTCGGCGTACAGGATCAGCCGACCCACGTTGCTCTCTCTCCCGGCTCCGCTCTTCGTTCTCCCGGCTGAAGCTGCGCTTGGTGACCTGCAGCCGATTTCGGTCACGGTCGTCCCGCCGGTCGTCCCGTCTGTCAAAACGGTCGCTGCCACGATCAGAGCGGTCGAAGCGATCGCTGCGGTCTCGACTTGAGCTGTTTCTGAAGAACGGAGGGAGAGGAGAGTCAGGGAAAGACAAGAAAACTCTGCAGGGTCCCACTGTGCATACTTGTGGGAGATTATATCTGAATACTCTGAGCAGGCTTTGAGAGTTGTGTCCTGTTCCTCACCTCTGAGGAACTCGTCTGTCTGAGTCCAGGGACGAGCCTGAAGAGGACGACGGCTGCTGTAAGGCTGAAAATCTGTTCAGTGTGCTGGTGGCTGGACGGCCGCCTGGCTCTGCACCTGGCAAAGAGAGTACACAACATGCTGAGTTTCGGCTTTGAGGTGCTTAACTAGACATTTATTTAATAAATGATCACATCAGTTTGGGAAACCTACCAGTATCTGCAGGTTTGGCACTGGTGCCACCGCTGCTGCCCTTACCCCAGCTCCCCCATGTACCTTTACCTCCTGGGGCGAGCAACTGATTGTTGAAGTCAAGAACAGGAGTCTGAAAGGAGAAACTGGTGGTTAAAAACACACTACCTGCTAAAAAATAAGAGTGAACATCAGATGAAAAGTAGCATCTCTCCTACCTTAGTGATTTTGCTAAGGCGAGAGGTGTCAATAGGTCGGTTCTTGGAGATAGGCACTGTATTCCAGCCCTCGTCCTGGGGAGGAGCTCCACGGCCTGGGGTGTGAGGGCCCCCACGACCCCCGGGACCTCCTCCACCCATCCTGCCTCCAGGGCCACCACTGGGCTCCTTCTTGGAGATGAGGGCTTGCTGCACCTTCATTTGCTCCCTGTGCTCCTCCAGCTCAGCGTCTTTGTGGATCTGGTCGATGGTCTTGGGGCCCTGGTCGCCTCGCCGGGGCACCCAGTTGTTCTGAGACAGGGTGGAGGGAGAGATCGTGAGCACAGAGTGAGTGAGTGACGACACTGACGGTTCCATTTAAGACATGATTTACATTCTCTTTAGGTTTTAAGAAAATGTTAATCCAAAGGTTTAAAAGTGGGGAAAATATTGTAATTTTTCTGTCATTTCACAAATTCTTACTAAACAACTTAAATGTTTAAAAAACAAGTACCAGGTTCAATAGACCAATAACAATGACCAAACTGTACTCAAGCATTTTAGACAAAACCAAACAACGGCAGCATCGTTCCACTCCAGTGTGTGATTTTAAACAGCATGCTGGCATCGGGAAATCAAAAGAGGCATGACAGGCGTGACGTATAACACAACAGTGTCAGTCTCTAGTGTGACATAGAACATACACATCAAGGGCACTTTACAAACAATCATTTAATGTCCCCATTATACAGCAGCTGATCTCGTCCTCTGCTCTGTGGATATGGAGCTCCTGGAGCTGATTGTTATCCCAATTTGCAGACATTTGCGGCTGCTGCTGTTCTTCTTTAAGTTAGCCACTAACTGCTACTACCTGCTTTTTAAATTTCCTGTGGTGGGTCACACACATAATGTGTCATCAAAACATCACACCCGTCCTGCCCATGGTCATGCTCTGCCAGCTGTCCTGTTTGTACAGGCCCCATTGTGGCACTGTTACCAACTCCTGTGGCAGATCGAAGGCGAGATAACTCTGTCCCTCTATTTCACTGTTGTACCTTACATACAGGACGGAGAGGTGGCATAATGGCGCAATATTCCTGCTTTGAACAGGCAGTGTAAGGGTGGCTATAGATCAGCATTAAATATCGTTAAAGCTCCTTTAAAGCTTCTCTTCAGCTTTTCCCTAGAAAGACAGGAAAGAACACAGTGTGTGTGTTTCACAGTTAAATTGGGCCATCGTGCTGACTTGGAGCAGCTGATTCTGGCTCGTAAAAACACTGAAGACAGCAGCTTTTGTAACACTGCGTGGGTGGGACTGGGAGCCTAACTACAGAACTGCAGCATTCTTTCAGAAAAACAGCACACACAACTGCACTAGAAAGAAGTGGCTCTACATCACAACTAAGAAAATGAGCTGGAAATTACCATGAGACACAAATGACTGAAAATACCAGATATTATTTTTAATTGACTATATAAAGACATGTTAATTGAGACAAAAGTAGAGCTGAATGAACATGCTACCAGAGGAGATGGTGGAGTTTGTTTTGGACAGTTTGTTGTCTCAGTCTATGACTCCATGTTCAGGGGCTGCTCTGCACTACAGAGCTGAGGAAGAAAGTTCTTTCTTCATTCATACATGAGATGAAGACAGGTCAGAGGCTAAAGGACCAGTGTGGGGCTGTGTTTGTGTTTAGCACCAGGCTCAGTACACTTTGTTGTTCGAATTTCTCCACGCTATGTATGTGAAATAGCATATGTGCCCTGCATGTGTTTGTGTTTTGTCTTGTATAAATGCTTTACCCGTCGAAGGTCCAGCACATCCTGCAGCATGAAGCGGATACGGGAGGAGGTCTTCCTCTCCTTTATTATTTTCTCCATCTGATTGAAGTACTGGTCCATGCGAGGCTGAGGATGACCACAACAGTTTGGTGAGTTTATCTCCTTAACTACAGGTGCAACATCAAAATTAAAACATGATATAATAACACATTTATCAGCATGTACAAACTATCTGTAAATGTGAGTGTGTGTGTTGTACCTTTGCCTTCTCGAAGTCTAGGTCCTTGCCGATGGTGGACAACAGTCTACACAGGCACTCCAGGGACTCTTCATCGTGGTTTTTGAGCAGCTTTACAATGCAGTCATGCATGATGACCTCTGTGAGCATTTTAAGCTTGAACAGCTCGCCAATGAACTTGATGTTGCCCAGTGAGCGCCTCCTGGCCTTGTCTTTGGCCTCTTGTAGCTCATCGATGAGCCGCTGCTTCTCCTCCGCCTGCCACAGAGACGTCACAAAGAAAAGGGGGATGACAAAAAATGAAATTAGCTGTATGAAAAATCTTATGGTCACTTTCAAACACTTCCCACCACACCCAAGATTAACTACAGATGATTTATTTTGTGCATGAACAAAGACCCCAACCCATATTCATGAAGCAGTACTGTACCACTGAGGCAGCCTCCAGCTCCTTCTGCTTCTTCTCAAAGATCTCGTCGTCATCTTTATCCTTCTCAAACTCCTTCTGGCATCGATTTAGTAGCAGCTTGCGGAAATTCACAGTGGCTCCCGGCTTATCTGTGGTTTGGACTTTAAGCTGAACGGAGCAGAGAAAACACACATTAAAAAAAGAGCAGGAAAAGACATTGTGTAGAGTTATGTAGTCTGAGTCACTCCTCAGCTCCTTAATCCCATCACTTAGATCAGAGGCACAGACATGTGGCACAAGCTTGAGATCATCCCTGAACACCAACAAGGAATGTTGCATTAATTCTGCTTTTAACATTTGTCAAGTTACAATTTTCAAGTTTATTTTTGACATTAAAGTATTCTGAATTTATAAATAAATCACTGAAATGCTTCCATTTTTTTAAGTGGTTATTCATTTAACCGTTTCCTCCCCATTTCTTAGCTCAAGTGCCTGCAACAAAAACCCATCTCTGGCATTAGCTCTGGGTGAGGAGACTGATAAATGAACCCAAGGCAGTGGGATGATGCAATGCTCCAGTGGTGATAATCAATCAGCCTAATGGTGATATAACAGGGAGTTACTGATCAGTTCAATCAGCAAGTAATTGTTGTCACTATGTGGTTCTATTATGCTTGGTGACAAACACAGATGAAAAATACAGATGATGAAACAAACAGCTGAGAAACTAAATATCAAACATCATTTTCTCCTCATCTTTGTAACTGAATAAGACGACAGATAAAAAAGACTATTTACTCGCCCAATATAAGACAAATTATTTTTCTGGAAACTACATTTGAAAAGGTGGGAGTTGTGTTATAATTGATTGCAATACATTTAGATATTTCTAACAACAGAAGTTGTCTTTGTACGGAGCAGGTACTGGTGTTACAGACTGGGCCTGTTACATGAAGAGAGTGTCGGGGTTTGTTGCTTGGCTGTGAGATTCTTCAGGTCTGTTTAAGAGTGTGTTCTTTATTCTTCATTCAAGTTCCCTTTAGCTGCCATTAAAGTAGTAGCTATTCTTCCTGGGGTTCACTCACAACTAAGCAAACATAAAGCAAGATCATAAAGCAAGTACCTCAGGGTCTTGTTCACGAGTGAGGGTAGAAGGGAGCGTGAGATGGATCGGCGGTTTGGTACAGTGTCTGCAGTGATGTGGGCGCTGTGCCGGACTGTCGTTGTGAAAAGGGAGCTGAGCCAGAAGGCAAAGCTTTCAATTTATTGGTCATGAGCTCTGGGTAGTGGCCAAAAGAATGAGATCTTGGATACACGTGGCCAAAATGAGTTTCCTCTGTGGGGTGGCTGGGCTCACCCTATCTCCTTAGAGATAGGGTGAGGAGCTCAGACATTTGGAGGGAGCTCGGAGTAGAGCCTCTGCTCCTTCGCATCGAAAGGGGTCAGTTGAGGTGGTTCAGGCATCTGATCAGGATCCTCCTGAACCCCTCCTGATAGAGGTGTTCTGGGCACGTCCCACAGGTAAGAGGCCCCGGGGCAGACTCAGAACACACTGGTGGGATTATATATCCCATCTGGCCTGGGAACGCCTCAGGGTCCCCCAGGAGGAGCTGGAAAGTGTTGCTGGGGAGAGGGACGTCTGGGGTGCTTTGCTCAGTCTGCTGTCTCCGTAACACGGCTTCGGATAAGTGATTGAAAATGGACAGATGGATGGATGGAGTCCTAAAGTTGTATCTCACTTGAACTACGCTACATTGCCCCCATGATTTCCAGTGGTACTGCTCAGTTTAATCCGAATTTGTAAACTTTTAGACAATGTGCACAAACTTGGACGAAATGAACATAAAGCACAGACAGATGGCTCTGTCTGTCTCCGTATCTAACGTTGAGCCCTTAGTCAACCATGATAGTGTTTAGTGAGCCAACTTTACACTGCAGGAGCTTCTGGAGGCTTGTGCTGTGCTGCCCTGTTTCCTGCTGTCTTAACTATAGAAACAAATCATCTGTCAGCTAGCTCAGAATTACTGCTGTCACAGGAGGTGTTGATGAAACACTCAAACAGAGAATCTGAAAAATGCTAACAGTGACAGAAAGTCATTCTGTTTGCTTTCAAAAGCTTGACAGGAGAATACAGGTGTGTGAAGAAGCTACAGTATAATGTGGGATTTAACAGAAGCATTTCATGCTTTACTTTAACAAGAGAAAAGCCTTCAAGAATAAGGACTATTTTCTTCACTGACTAATGGTATCTCAGTGGACTTTTCCAACAGGACAACTGAAGTGTTTTGTATTTTGTCTTTAACACAAAAAACAAAAACAAAAAAACAAGACAAAAAAAAAAGATAAATTATATGTATAAAAAAACTGCTTGGCTTGTTTGTATTTAGTTTGGTCAAGAGTTTGGTCAAATGCACTGTCACCACACAACAGTCTGAGGTTCTGAAACATGATGCAGGCTCATGCTTTTTATGAGGAAGGAACTTACTTCATTATGTAACACTTATCATATCAACACACCATTGAGCTCTGTGCACAACTGCAGGAGTGACCACCTAAACATTCAAGCTTATCAAACACATATTTCCATATTGCGTGTGGCCCTACTTACCCCCATAAGGCAGCGGCACATGTTGGCATAGGCCACCGAAAAGTCTGGCTCGGAGATGGCCTTTTCGAAAGTAAGATCAATGACTCCTTTCAATCTCTCCTCAGTGTCAATAGTCAGTTCCGTCACCTGTTTCATTAGCTGTTGAAACTTTTGGGGGGTCAGTTTGTTGAGGATACTGCGAACCCGTTTAAACAGATCCTGGGTCTTAAGGTTCTCTGCATCGTTGTCCTCTTCCTCTGCTCCGCGAGCGCGAGCCTTTTTCGTTGAAGGTTTCCAAGCCTTCTCTGCTTTGTTCAGCTGCACGTCATCGCTGAGTGACATGCTGGTGATGATTTTCCTCGGCTCTTTCCTCTGCATTTGCTGAGAGCGACGTTGACCGCCAACGCCCATGCCCATACCTGGAGGCTGAGAGGAGACAAACATGTCATGTCATCCGTGGGGAATGAACTTCAATTGGCAGCTCTTGGATCAAGCTGAGAAAATGTGAACTTACCGGTCCTCTGCCGCCTCCTCCCATGCCAGGCCTGCCGAGGTTGGCGAAGGAGGGTGTAAAGTCAGGGCCACAGTTCATTCCTGTTAGACGACTGGGGTCCAGTTGACGCAGAGGGGTCTTATTAGCCTGTGAAGACAGAGATGTGAACTAACTTCAACTTTATTCAGATATTCTTTCTGATGTAAAGCTGTCATCTTTATGTCTTTCTATGTTTCCACTCACAGAGACATTAATTACATCCCACTACTGCTTCTGTGGTGATCAAACACCCTGCAACAATAAACTGCACTGACTTAAAGGATGTCTTTTTCTCCCCTGGGACAGACTGTCTACAGCAAGGAGCGGTAAGTGTATTTATACAGCAAGATTTAAACTGCAGCGAGGAAATTTCAAAGTGTTTCACCAACACATAAAAAGAAAAATGAAAAAAGAAGGACAAGTTTAAATACTTTTAATATAAGAGAAACTATTATAGACTGTATGTCCATGTCTTTACTGTGAGAAGCTGCACCTTGTCCAGGACAACATCACTGATGGCTGGCAGACCCTCAGGCTTGTTCATACTGGCTGAGATGAACTGGAAGCCCAGAAGAAACTCTCTGTCGTATTGTTTCTTCTCCTCTGTGTTGATCGGCTTCCATTGTTCTGAAAGAGAAACCGAAACAGAGAATGACCAGAACGTTCCTGTAATGAACATTTTCAAGTAATATCTCACTCAGTATCATCTCAGAATGAAACTGGGAAGAGAATGCCCTTGGCGAAATGCTCCCTGCATGGCGGAGCTGTACTGCAGAATAAAGGTGAATAAATGATCTTTGGTCGGTATAACTGTAGGTATTGTCATGCCTCATAATGTCCACAAGGTGGCAGAGAGGATGGCAAATAAATTAATTTATAAATTAAAAAAATAAGTACAGCAGTGTAAGACAAAGTCCATCTGTGGGTACAGTTAGTATTTAATGATATTATTTACTCTCCTATGGTTTGATTTGAAGGCAGATGATTCATTTACTACTGATTTTTTTCGTTTATAAAACAGAACAAAGCTGCAAAGGGAAAAGGGTCATGACCTACAATTCACCTATTATTTAAAAAATCTTCTTGTTTATTCTTCTTCTTGTGCTCACTGTTCAAATATTATGCGTTGCCATCACATAACTCTCGTTTTCCGCTGAACAGTCAGAAGCACAATCAGGTAAACGCCACTCCCTCATTTTCACAAAGCAAACATAAACGTAGTCCACTGACACATTGCTAACGCGTGAATGTGAGTGAGATAAGATCTTTGTTCACACTGACTTGCTCACTGGAAGGTATCAAGGTTCAGAGACCCACCCTCTTTGTACTGGTACTTCTTGTCAGTGTCAGTCGACTTGGGATCTGGCTGAATGTTCTCAGCATCCAGCTTGTCCTCCTTGTCCTCCCAGGTCAGGTCCGCCTCCTCTGGGGCAGGAGGAGAAGCAGCAGGGGGCTGGGTCTCTGGCGCTGGGGCAGGGGCCGGGGCCGGCTCGGGCTCCGGGGGAGTCACGACTTGCTCCTGGTTCAAAGATGGGACAGAGCTTAGAACAGTCAGACTGCAGTCTTAAAATTTATGTTAAATGAAACTATCCTGTGATACCTAGAGGTTGATTTGAATTATAAACTAAGTTAAGGCTTAAATCTGTCTTCCTATATGTTGGCGAGCATGGAGTGACTGCAAGCTCATTAAAACAGGCTGTAAAAGCATGGAAATGAATGAATAAATGCATTTCACCACACACACCTCTTTAAAGGCATCCAGGAGGTCTCCTACAGCCTCCTTTTTGTTCAGATCCTTCATCTTCCTCTTTTTCTTTGGCACAGACACAGCGGCTACAGGAAGGAAGACGAAACACAATCTGCCTCAGATTAACACAAATATATCTGACACAAGTGTCCTGCCAAAGAGGAATCATCCACTGTTAAATATTTTAGCACGTTGTAACCAACTGACCTTGCATAGTAGTTTCTACAAGGGCAGGGGTAATCGTCTGGGGAGGAGGGGTGTCCTCCCTCTCCTCTGCTGTGGGAGGGGGAGGAGTGGGCACTGTTTCTGGGGCGCTGTCAGGTATGGAAACCGTCTCTGCAGGAGATGGCTTCTCTTCTTTGGTGGTGGACTGGGGCACTGGGGTATCTTCTTTAACATCCAGGGCGACTGGAGGAACTGGGTCCTGTACTTCAGGCTGGGCAGGTGCTGCCT